CTGACAATGAAAGAAGATTTTCTTTAGGAGTTAATCGCATATTATTTAATGTTTAAATATATTTTACAAGCTCAATGATCACCGTAGATAGCTGTACTACGTCACCGAATTTTTGTTTCTAAAGTCATCTAAAACCACAAATTTATTTTGTTTATCGGTGAGATTTTCAAACGTGCTTTATTAAATTAAATAAATTCAAATCTCAATAATTGAAAGGAAGAAAAAATTATGTACTAAAAAGTAAAGTTAATGGAGGATAGGTACAAGTTGGTTTAGGGAAACCGTAAAAAAAAAGCCATGTTATTATTGACGCCTATGATGCCTAAATATTTTTAGTAGCTAGTACTGATACTATTACGGTTATGCTACGATATCAAGTTTAATGGATCCCCGAAATAAGTTTTTGAAAGTTGTTCATGTGCAACATCTTCGTCTACATTACATGCGAGATGTGTCATCTAAGAAAAGGAGAGCAAGGAAGAAGAGGATGAATCAGTTGCTGAAATACAAGATAACATACGATATATCTGAGATCCTGATAATCACACTAACCTCACATCAGGAATTCGAGCTTGCAATTTTAACTTCTTGATTCTAATCATTTTAAAATTAAACTTAAATGAATAAAGAAATAATTTACCTGTCAAATATTTATCTCACATTTAGTTGTATTTTTTTAAAATTCTGTTTAAATTTTTTTTGTTCGCTGTGATATTTGAAACCAACAATTTTCCTCATCGGTCAGCAATAGGGTCATTCATTTCTATTGCGGGGGACGAGTAAAGGGTGATTTGGTAGCTGTTTGCACCAAGAAAATGTTAAAGCTCGCTTGAATTAGAGACATTTAAAAAAAAAAAAATTCAGATAAAAAATTTTTTAAATTTTTTTATTGTAAATTTAATTACACAAATAGTGAGTGAAAAATTGTAATCTTAAAAAGGGCTATGTCTCTTAATTTATAAAATGTGACTGGGTTAAAGGTCCTCACCCCCTCCCCGGGTTCCATGTTCCCTGCTACTAAGTACCATTAAGTAAGGCATAGATAAATAACTTACATGAAAATACCGTTACAACATTTATTAATTTTATTTCAATAGTAGCCAAAGAATTTTGGATATTTGTTTTAAATCTTTATAACTGTAATAGTAGCCAATATTTTTGGACACTTGTTTTTCTTTATGACTGTAATAGTAGCCAAAGATTTTTGAATATTTGCTTTAAGTCTTAATGACTGTAATAGTAGCCAAAGATTTTTGGATATTTGTTTTAAATCCTCATGACTGTAATAGTAGTCAAAGATTTTTGGATATTTGTTTTAAATCTTTATGACTGTAATAATCAAGTAATCTTTTTTGTTTCTAGAGAATGCCCGATATGATAAGACGATAATAATATTTCCTATGCTTAAATAGAGGAATATAAAAATTTGATAAAATGTTATAATTCATGTTTCACTCAATTTATAAAACGCCAAAATTATTTTAATGTCACTTTTTACGAGAAAACATCGCCAAATATGGCACATCTACAGCTAACAGTGCGATACCGAGTTAGAAGACAATTACAAGATTCGCTGTTTAGAAGAAGACTACTTGCCATGAAAATACAAGTAAGAAAAAATGGCATTGTTGTTGTGGATGAAGGTGAAATTCACGCATTTGCACTTCTTTTTTAATGGGCGTTTCTTCTGTACACATATTCCTTTCACCGATAATGTTGAAAAATGATTGCATTAGGCAACAGGGAAAATATTACAAGAGCAATATCAGTTGTTCTTCAATAAATAAACGTGAAAATAACCTAAAAAATTTCTTAACTCTTCTAGTTTTAAAATAATTGGACTACATTAACCCTTTGATGCAGATAGACATCACTGCTAGTTTTATATATTTTTTTCTGATGGTTTCATTACAAGAAAAACTATACTTTGTATATTTTTTTTATTCATAAAAAAAACTCTAATAGTTACTAAAAAATCTGTTACATCATCAGAATTATATTTGCATCAAAATATAAAATACAAAAAAGTAGTTTGAAAAAATATTTCATTCTTATTTGAAAATTTATCAATAATTTATTTTGTAAATTAGAGAAATTTTAAAGATGAGTAACTGCTTCTGTTAGATCGAAATTGCTGCAAATTTTAAAAATTGTTGTTTGTAAGTGAGCCGGGTTTGGAAAATGTTTCCTTGAAAGTAGAAAAAAAACGCCAGTGTTTTATGTTTCATTTCGTAACCATAAATTATTAAAATGGTAAATATATTTTCACTTATTTTGATCAAAATTAACACAAAATAGTGAAAAAAAATATGAAAAATATGTTTAATAAAAATTCTGCATCAAAGGATTAAGAACTAATAAAAATTATTAGTTAATATTAAGGAAATATTGATTTTAGCGAAAATATGATGTTATTCCTAATTTAAAGACCCAATAGCTAAATTGTCCTCGAAATAAATACTTTTATACTCTTATTTGTATCCTTGAAATAAATCGGTAAGTGATGTAAAATAGGTAATGGTTATTTTTAGAAGCATTTTTTTTCCTGTTAAGGCTTTCGGAGAAATTGGAGCGGCTAATGTTAATAGGAGGTATTATAACAGCCGCTGAACAGCTGACCCAATTTTATGGGTTTACGACTACTAATGTTCAACTCCGCAGCCTTGTAATCTTGAACCCAATGCAGAAGACAAGGGAACTCCTGGATCGAGCATTGGGACAAATTTGCTTTCGTGGAAGACTTTTTGATGGAGCTAATCTGCATTTGCGTTTCATGGAGAGGAAGACGATGAGAACCTCCCACGGTTAGTCTGACGGGAAGGGAACCCTAACTCATGATACGTCTACCACTAAGGATATTTCACGTCAGCACTGTGCTCGGTGCAAGACGGATACGGAATTCGTATCGACTGGGATTCGAACCCGGTTCGCCACATTGGATGGCGAGCGCTCTGTTCCCTGAGCCATCGCGGCTAAATAATAGGGGGTATGTTACAAATCTGCACTTTCGAGAACCCCCCCTCCCGGAAAAAAAACTGTGCAAAAACTTCTTGGTATCAAATACTAAGCAATTTTCTAGATTGCTTAAAGAAGAGAATCCAAAATTGTGGTGGGAATTAATACAATTTATCCACAATTGACACAGTTTCTTTTTCTAACCCAGTGAGATGATCTGTCTACCACTAAGGATATTTCACGTCAGCATTGTGGTCAGTGCAAGCCGGAGTCGGAATTCGTATCGATTGGGATTCGAACCCGGTTCGTCGCATTTACTTAGCGCCATTTGCAAATACCAGCAAGCCTGCTGGAAATCAAGCGAATTTTTAAGGCAGAGGGTGTGTTTCTTGTTTTTTCAGTAGCATAATCTCTGGCCAAGAACAATATTGCAGCCACACACACATCACAGCCCGTTTTACAAGGAGGACCCATTCATATTTCATCCATCCTCAGATCGTACTTTTGACCTGAACCAGAGAACGATTAGTGTCCAATTCAGTACCCCCAGAGGTATTGATTTGTAATGGGAACTTGAAGGACTGTGTGACCTCGATAAATTTAGCGTGCACTAGTCATCCTTAAATACACGGAAATTTGAGCTCCTGTTCTCACGAACACGAGTCCAACGTCCTACCAACCAGGCTCTTTCAACCCGAGATGTATCTTATAACAGTATAGATAAAAATTGATATATTAAGTTTTCTCTTTAACTCATGAATACTACATACCATATCATTGTTTCAGAAACTAATATTTTTAGGAAAGGAGTTAATTCTTGGAATAAGATGTAGTTCATTTTATCGAAATTCTCAATAACCAAAATATTTTAAAACATTTTTTTGGCAATACATGTAATAATATTATTGATGCATTTTTTAAATTGTTTACTTAAACATAAACATATACTATATCATTACTTGAATTATATATGCTGGGAACATTTTGCAAATTACTCGATTTTTGATAATATAATTTATATTAAACTAAATTTGATACTAATTTTTTATAGTTTTATTAGTAAGGGACCTCTTTTAGTCATTTATCTAGTCATTTATCTAGCTTTAAAACTAGATTAAATGTGCCAGGTGCACTTATACTTTTTTTAAAATAATTTTATTTATTTTTTTCAGAATTTTAAGCATTATCCTTTTTAGGAGGACAATTTTAAATGCGTCAATTGCACATATTTCACAACACTTTTGTTAATTGTTGAATATATTTCATATTTTGGAGTATTTGAAACCCCATTATCTCTTATAGTATAGCAATTCTTAATGTTCCATGTTTTAATATTCCAGAATAATTTTGTTGATTGTTGAAAATATTATTTATTTTGAAGCATTTGAATTTTTATCTTTTTGAGAATGCCAATTCTAAATGCGTCTGTTGTACATCTTCATGACAGTTTGTTAATTGTTGTCAATATTACGTATTTTCAAGTATTTGATTAATTATTATCATTACTAGGTTAGCAATTCTTAACTTTCCATACGTTAATATTCCAGAATAATTTCGTTAATAGTTGAAAGTATTACATATTTTGGAGTATCTGAAGCTTTATTATCTTTTCTAGGATAGATATTCTCAATTTTCTAGACCTGAATATTCCTGAACAATTTTGTTTTTTGCTGACAATTTTGCATAATTTAGAACAGTTGAATTCTATGTTTTTATTGTGGTAAATTGCTTTTTCGCAATTCTATAATTTTTTTTAAATACCGGAAATTCAAAACGGAAAGTTCGCTTGTTTGTGATTCTTTTTAATAGCAAATAAATTATGAGGTGGCTGGATGATTTCATATTTTTTAAGGTAATTATGAGTTTAAGAATTTGTTAATTACAAACATTTAATACAAATGAATTTTACTTAAAACGAATGGCTAAAAATATGTGATTTGGGCAGAATATTTAAGAGTATCGAGAATAATTGAATTGAGAATAATAAAAGTAGAATATTGAGAACGTGTTTGAATGTGTGTTTTGTTTTAAAATTGTCATGTAAATAAAAAGGCAACTTTTATCTTTTAATCTTGATACAAGAGTAATAAATGATCCTTTTAGAGAAATATATTAAAAAATACTGTGTAGATTACATTCATGATGCTTTCCTGTTGTGAAGTAGTTTTTTTCAAGCTTTATAATTTAACAAAATATAATCCAAAAACCTTAGATGATTCTTTTTCCTTTGCACTGCACCAAGAAATGTTTTGAACTTCATGTGTCTGAAAAGAAGGTTTCAATCAAATGAAATAACAGATAAAAATTTTGTGAAAGTACTGAAAAAATTTCAACAGTTATGATTTAATGATTGAATTTTACCTATATGATTTGAAAAGTAAAAAGTATACTAATGCAAGACATTTTTAGTACATATTTTATCAAAAAATAATTAGTTGAAAATATATGATTACTGATTTTTGATTAATTAAATTAATTAGTAACTTACAGTTAATTAAAAAGTAAGATTTTTAATTATTTTTTTAATATTTTTCAGAAGCAATTCAATCGAGATGACTTATGTTTTATTACTTAAATTGTTTTAAACTACTTGAAATATTTTGAGCTTAGCGTTCCAATCAAATTTTATTATCATTATATAAAATAATAAAAGTAATAAATTTTTGTTAAATATAATTTTTGATTCATATTATTTTCTATGAAAACTTTTATGAATGCGAAAGTATTTTGATTTATGTCATCAACGGTATGGTAAAATACTCAAAATATATTAGAAATTTCTAATTGAATTTTCAGCAGTATATTTCGGCTTATTTTGGTTTTGTATTAAATTTTAATTGAAAAATAACATAATTTGACTTGATATGACTTTGTATTAAAGTTTTGTTAAAGCAAATAGCATAATCTTATTTTATTTGATTTTAAATTAAATTTTTGTGTAAAAAAAGGAGAGCAACTTGACTTGATTTGATTTTGTATTATATTTCCATGCAAAAAAAAAAAATGCAGCGTTATTTGACTTTATTTGTTTTCGTCTTACATTTCTATGCCAAAAAGGCAGCATAATTCGACTTTATTCGATTTTGTATTATATTTCTGTGCAAGAAAAAAAACAGCGTAATTTGACTTAATTTGATTCCGTATTTCTTCTCTGAGTAAAAAATAAAGGCAGTACAATTTGACTTTGGAATATTTTAAGAAATATACCATAACAATATCTGATGAACAATTAAAAAAAAAAACAATTTGCTACATGCATGTAATTTTTGTATGAAAACAGACAATTGTCTATTTTTATAAGTGATATCAAATATAATTTATTATAAACGACAGCTTCTTACATAACGTATATAATTAGATAAACATTCATTCGCTTTATAAGACAACATGCAACACCACGACCTTATCCCCTTTCCAACACTGCAAAACCCAGTTAAAACAAAAGAAAAAAAAATTAACTATTTCCGACGCAGCCTGTGGCCATAAATACCAAACTACAGCCGTCCTAACGAGAAAAATGTCATCTAAATTTAGACATGATCTTAAGCACCTGTTACTCTCCCCCATCCTCTCTACACACCCATCGATATACTGTTGCCAAACATATAATATTATCCTGAGGTAGAAAACGTTTTATTGTGAAGACACGTTTTGACGGGCTTGTGAAAATAACAGATTGGCTTTTTTTTTTTTAAGAAAAATTTTTTCGCTCCGTCCTCACTTGTCAAAATATGTTTTATTCTCATAGCGTTGACAGCTCTTTTAGGGTTTATAGATAAAAAGGTATTTTGTATTTTTTTGTGAAAAAAAGAGGCTTTCTTGCGTAAAATTACCGTTATTTAATGCTGCAGGTATAATGGTGAGTGTTTTTATTAAATTGAGCATAGCGGAGGCTTTTTTTTCGTTGTTGAAATGTTTGAAAATATTTTATCGAGACAATGCGATATTCTTAGAATTGTGAGAAATGTTCAAAAATATTCGATGCTTATGGCGTCCGGGAATTTCAGTGTATAAAATGAGCGAAAAAATATTTAAATTTAAGAAATTCTGTCAATCTGGTTTTTTTTTAATAATATTTAAAATAAAAAAATAAAGAGTATGACTTTCATGTTTTAAAATAAATTTTTAGTTACGTGAATCTGTAACGTGAAAAGGCAGCATAAGGAATATTTAAGAAATATATATATAAGAAATGTATATATAAGAATATATAAGAAATATTTTAAGAAAAACTGTATTTTTTTAAAAAAGTAAGGCTAAATTAAATAAAATAAAACACTAAGAAAGTATAATTTTACTTCAAAAATAGTAATAAAAACGTAAATTCACAGTAAAGGTGAAATGATAAAATATTATTTTAAGAATAAATAAGATTCATTTAAAAAATAATATAAGGGTATATACTTATAAAAGTGTGTGAAATAAAAGGAATATATCACAGAAAATGTCAATTTACTGTTAAAAAATGATAGTAAAAAAATAATTTCAAAATGAAGTTAAAGTTATTTAAAGTAAATATTATAAAATATGGTTTTGAAGACATGTAAGATAAATTTAAGAAAAAAAAATTAAAAATATTTTATTGCAATATAAATTATAGAAATAACTGTAAATATAAATAAAATAAAGTAAAAAAACATTAGGGCATATAATTTTGAGGTAGGATATGCAATAGTTTTCTAGATAATAAAGGAAATGGAATCTCAATATTGAGTAGATAAATGCTAAATTATAGAAAAATAATTTAGAAATTTTAAATCAAGTTACAAAAATATAAAAATTTATATAAAATGAAATGAAAATAAAACAAAAAGAATCTCAATATGATGTTTTTTTTTTTGAAAAAAAGCTAAATTTGCTATTACTTGTTTTTACCTTTTGAGAATCTAAAAATATCTTACAGACATCCAAAACTTTTCATATTCCTGAAAACTTTATTAAAACACTTTTTCAGTTCTATTATTTATTTACTTTTTTTTAAGGAAAAGGTAAAATCATATTTTTTTCTTTTCAGTTTGGAGTGCGGTAGAAGAAATTGTTAGCAGAAGATTAAAAATACAGCAAACAAAAGCATATTCTGTTACGCTAAGTGAGTTTTGATCCCTAATTCTAGAACAATACAAACCCTCTCATATTGTCTTTTTTTTAATTTGAAATTCAACTTTTAAGTACTTAAAAATTCGTTTTTTCACAGAATGAAGAAAAAAAACGTGATATTTATGACTGTTAAAAAAATTTTAAATTTTGTCACTTAAAAAAGCTTATTTCAAAATTTAAAAAAAAAAGTGAAAAAAAGAATTTTTGATTTAAATATTTTTATTTTTTTAATTTACAGTCTTGTAAAAAAATTTGATTGTATATTAAACTTATAACAAAAAAAGCCTGAACCTCAAAACAAGTAATTATTTTTAAAACTTATCCTTTATTTCCCAGACATATAGATTACTACTACAGCAGTACAGCTGTGTTATGACGTATGCACGTCTTCAAAGCTTCTTGATGCTTTCTTCAAATAAAACAAAATACTGTGACGTACATACGCTCAATGAGATTAAGAATACAGTTTCCATTCATGAGTTTCTTCAAAGTACAGGTGCTGTCAGTACAGGTTCGATTTCGACACGAAAACCCCTCGTGGATCGAAGCAAAAAGCATAGATTTGGTGACGTCAGGAAGCCGGGTAATGACGTCTTTTCTAAGAATGACGTCACGGTTAATAGGTTTGTCTATTTTTGACTATCTTTTTAAACAATAGGTACCTGTGCCTATTTGCACTGTTTACAGGTGGAAAAAGTTACTTTACAGGTGGTTAGAGAACTTGAAAAGGGATTTCTTGTAGCTGATTTGGTTCTTTTGTTGCGAGAAAAGAATTTGTTACAATTTAAATAAAATAGAAAAGAAAATCTATTGATCTCAAGATTTATTGTTAAAAAATATATTTTCCAAAAATATGTTGTATATAATATTAAAGTTATGCTTGGCTTTGTAGAAATAAGTTTATCAAAAATAAATTTAACAATTTCTAGATACTATCTCTAGCTTTAATTTGTCGAAACCTAAAAATGTCTTGTCATTAATGACGAAGTAATATTTCTGATAAAAGGGACTTATTTATCAAACATAAAACTACAAGTTCATAAGCTATATTTCTAATTTTAACTTGTCAAAACTTAAAAATATTTTGTAATTAATATCAACATAATATTTCTGATAAAAGAGGAGTGTTTATCAAAAACAAAATTTTAAGGTCATAAACTATATTTTTAATTTTAATTTGTCGAAACCTGAAACTATTTTGTCATTAATATCGAATTAATATTTCTGATAAAAAAGTGTGTCTATCAAATATGAAGTTAGAAGTTCATAGGCTACTTTTTCTAATTTTAATTTGCCTGAACCTAAGAATAATTTGTCATTAATGAAGCATGTTTACCAAAAATAAAATTAGAGGTTCATAGGTTATTTTTCTAGTTTTAATTTGCCGGAAACTAAAAATATTTTGTCATTAGAGCCGAAGTAATATTTTTGATAAAAAGACGTGTTTATCAAAAATAAGAATAGAAGTTCATAAACTATTTTCATAATTTTAATTTGTCGAAACTAAAAAAAAAGGATTTTGTCAGTAACATCGAAGTAATATTTGTAATAAAGGAACCAATAAATAAAAACAAAGTGATAAATAAATATTAGTCCTAATTTTAATCAGTGCAAGGAGTAATTAATTAATTATTTTAAGAGGACCACAGAATGTGGAAAATATTAACAAACTGGAATAGCGGAAGACGAATCATTGGTTTGAGTCTCTTTGCCTTTGGGCTAACTATGGGAGGTTTTCTTAAATATTTATGTAGAACAAATATGGACTGATTTGGCTTCTGTCAAAAAGTAATACAAATTCTTAGATAAGGTTCGATGCTGACCTGTAATATTGGTATCTTAAGAACACAATGCTGCAACTTATATGAGGAGTTTGTGAACCATAAACAATTTTAAAACTGCTACATTTGTACGATAGTAAGGTCCAGGCTTAACACTATATTAAATATTAAAGTCATAAGAAATTTATATAATATTATGGTTTACCGCGGTTCAAAAATTCAAACAGTGAAAAAATACAATTTTTATTTTGTAGGTTCTTTTGTCTTCTGGGTGGGGTTCAAAATTACCAGGTTATGGACAATAAGAACTACACATCGCTATATGGATTAGCAGTTTAATCTAGTCAAATAAAGTTAAAAGTAAAGTAAAAAACTCAAACAAGTAAAAACTATATGTCTGTGAACCATAATCAAGGCTAAGATGGCTTAATTTGTATGGTAATATGGTTCAGCTTAATACCATATTAAATTAAAAAATTACATGCTATTATGGTTCACTACGGTTCAAAATTTCTAACAATAAATTTTTATTTTATTTTGTGGGTTCTTTTGTCTCCGGGTAGGGGTTCAAAATTACTAGGCTAAGGACATTATTAGCTACACAAGGCTACATGGATCGGCAGTTTAACCCAGGAGTTAATTAACCCAGTGAAATTAAGTAAAAAGTAAAGTAAAGAGTACACTGAAGCAAAAAGTAAAGTAATAAGTATTCTAAAATAAAAAAAATGAAGTAAAGTAAATAAATAAAATTCGTACTGAATCATTTTTAACAACAGATGTTTTAGAAGATAATGTTAAGTGACTTTTAGGAATTTTCCAGATTTATTGTGCACAAAAAGCGTTTCTAGATATTTAAAAAAATGTTTTTTTCTTTTTCACAATTCCAAATTTTATTAAATCTGGCCTATTTAAAATACCAATTTGAATCTAAATCGATTAAGCTAATTTATGAAGCATGTAGCAAATAACCAAATTGAGTGTTAAAAAATCAGTTTCACATGCCTTCAAAGAACTAATTAACTAAAGGATAATCAAAACAAAAGCGGGATTTTTTATTTATGAATTTCAGCTATCTAGATTTTAAAAAGTTTCAAAATAATTGACACGTATTAGGTTACCTTTTATTTAAGTAATTTAATTTTGTACAATACATTGCGTATTTTTGCAATATTTTACAATCTGATTTAAAAATGAAAATTGCAATAATATTGAAATACATTATAATGTACAATGAATTTAAATTCATTTATAAACTTGCAATACTATTGAAAGATAAAATATACACAAATAAAGCAATGAAAAGTAAAATGCAGGATTTTGAAATTGTTGAGACATCTAGATATTACAGAGTTTTGCATTAACTAACATTTATTTCGTTATCTTTTTCATAGGTAATTTTATTTTGTACAATACAGTGCATATCGTTACGATAGTTTTACACTATAAACTAAAATTGAAAATCGCAACAATTTTTAATTAAATAAAAACATACAATAAATTCAAATGTAAAATAAAAATATATAGAAATTTTCAATTAAAATATTAAGTATATATAAATAAAGCAATTAAACAAACCCTTATTTCTCCCACTTTATGGGTTTACGACTACTAGTGTTTAATTCCGTAGCCTTGTAATTTTGAACCCTATCCAGAAGACAAGAGAACTCCTGGATCAAGTATTCTATCTGAAAAGGACTCTATCCCATGCCTAGACTGCAAAGGACTCTATCCCATGATAGGAGTACCACTGAGGATATTTCACTTCAAAACTATGGTCGGTCCAAGCCGAATGCGGATTCGCATTGACCAGCCATCGCTGGGATTCGAACCCGGTTTATCTCATTGGAATGCGAACGCTCTATCCCCTGAGCCATCGCGGCTCAAAATTCGTTATTTTCAAATTATTAATTTTTCATATTTATCAATCTAAAATCTCGTTTCTTTGAACCTTGAATTTCGCTGTCCTTTTGCAGAAAAGTCAGCATATAATTATCGCAAGTGTAATTATTACGAATGCAATTAGTACAAATTAACTGTCTCGAATCAAACTAGCCGATAGAAATAGTCATAAAAATACATATCCTATTCTAAGTTTTCTGTTAAACGATATCTTAATTTAATAGTTTTGAAGCTGTTAGTGATAAAAAGAAGATATTTTAGATTAAATGAACATAAATGTTAATTTTTTTTTACAAACCTGAGCAACTAAAAGTCATAAACTGGACAGATGTTTCAGAATAGACAGCAATAAAATTTTTTATTAAGATGCTGAAAAAACAATGTTGGGCTTTTACTGAATTTAGAAAGACTCTATTATGAATTAGGATTTAGTATTTTTTTCCTTATTTTTTGCTATCTTCTTTTTGCATGTAACGTCTGTTATATTATTATAAAATAAATAAACTTTGGTTGAAAAATTGAGTCTGAAAATGATGAATTGAAAATAAAGTAATAAACTTGATGTGAGTTAACGAACTGATGCATATGAAATCATGAAATATATTATAAAGCCAAGGACCCATTTTTAACAATGTTTCGTATACTTTTTAATATACAATTATTCAATTCAATATATTTATTTAATATATTTATTCAATATATTTATTCAATATAATAATTTTTGTAAAAATATATTTAAAAAAAGCGTTTAAATGTGTCATGCAATCGACTGGAAAGTAACTAAATCATTATATATTTTATTAACTAAATCATTATTATTTTATTATTTTATTAACTGACCCAATCAGCCAAAGTCGGCCCATTTTTAATAATAGTATATTTTTCCAATAATAAAATTATATAAAATATTCATTTAATATAGTAATGTTTTAATAATGTGCTGTAAAAATTTGCTAAAATTAAGTGTCGTGCTATCAACTTAAAAATAACTAAGCCAAACTGTACAGTAAAACTTTTTGTTTTATTAGATAAAGTTAAAAAATAATTACGTCAAAAAATAATTAAAATTAAAATTTATCTGGGGTTTCAAGAACAATAGCATTGTTATCGATGGAAAAAAGAAATTTTTTATCCGATTCAAAAATTCAGTTTAGAAGGAAATCACTCAATTCAACATAACAATCTAATATAAAATAATTTAATAATTTATTTTAAAACGATTAAAGTAATAATTTATAATTTATTGGCTAGATGCCTTAAAAATTAAACTTAATTTTTTGTAAAGATTTAAACAAATGTTGAAAAGAACAAATAATACACTGTAAAAAGTTAACCTTTCTTTTACAAAATAGTTCTTTGTATCAAAGTATCAATCAATTTTATTAATCTTTGTGTCAATTTAAATTTTTTGTATCAATAATAAGATTTTTTTACCTTTGAAGTTTCATCAAGCGTATTTTAATGAATATAATCAGAGAGCTGATATCGAATAACTCTTTCACTTTTCAGTATCAGTTCAGTATAGCATTTTTTCTATCATGTTATTGTAGTTGTTTTCCCATAGCTTCGACTGAAACAAGTAAAAGAAATGGATATTAACAAACACAAAGAAGGTTAGTGTTTAGTAAAAAGGAATAAAATATTTGGAATAAGCAAAAAATTACCATACAAACATTAATATAATTCTATATTAACTAAAAATTGTAAATAATTTTATAAGTATCAACGCAATGCTGGGGTAAACATTAAGTGCCCCCAGAATGACTAAAAATTTGAAATAACACCAATTAAAGCATAACGCAAATAAATAAAAATGTCCAGTTTACTGCGTTTTGACAAAGAAATTTAATAAGTAATACTATCCAAATTTCAAATTAGTTGCTAAGTTCATTAACAGATGGCACTGCTGACTGACAAACTTTTGAACCAATACTTTATTTTGCATCTCAAACTATTATACTTGAAATATTTACAAAGGTTTCAGTTAATTTTCTCCTTCACCGGCGCATTGTTGTTGCTACAAATGGTGGTTAGCTCAAAAACATTGTTTCATAATTTTTATCAGTTGGCAACTTAGAAGCGCCATCTTTTAACAAACTTCATTACTAGTTTTTTGAGTAGTTGTAGTTAATTTACTTCGTACTAGAGCTGCACGATGGGCTATTGGCGACGATCTGGGAAACACCCCTGAGGATGATCCGAAGACATGCCATCACAATTTTGATCCTCTGCAGAGGGAATGGCACCCCCGCTTCGGTAGCCCGACGACCTGCACGCGACGTCGAGCACTTTACGGTAGAACAGTTTAACGAGGACCAATACCGCACACCCTCGGTACTAGTTTTTTGAACTTAGTGATATTAGTTAACTGGTTTCTTAAGAGGACGATTGTTTTTAACTACTTCCGTTTTCTTTTAATGGATTTGTTTAAATATTCGTTCAGTTTTTGGACACCCGATATCTACTTAACTGAAGAATATAGTGTGAGAATATTCCAACTCATAGTTTGAAAACTCATATTATATATATTATGTAATCTCCACGTTTAAATAGCATGTTGTTATCGGATGTAAACATAGAATATTAATTTATTCTGTCAACTCTTTGAAAAGTTCTTTTATATGCAGTTTCCAGATAATTTATATACATCTAATAAAGATACCAAATTTACTAAAATCGCACTGAATAAATTCTTCCAGTGAGTTCTTTAATTATCACAGTAATTCTGAAGTTTTTAAAGTAGAAGTGAAGTTCACTGTTTTTACAACCAACGCAATATTGTTTCTTTCGATTTTTGGAATTTTATTATTTTGTCCACATATTTATTTTAGCATATAACTATATTTTTTATGTGAGATTCAAAGTTACAAATAAAATTGTATATCACTTATAAATTAAGAGCTTAAAGAACAAGTAACTTATTCATAAAATTCCGAATAAACTAATTTTAATCATCGCTTAAAATAATTCAGATTCACAAACTCTAAGAATAAATTATGTATACTTGTAATCCGAAGAACAATTCTTCTTCTTTTTTAGCACTACAGCCAGTTTCTGACCAATGCAGTCTCAGTCAGTTTTCTCCGTAATTTATCAGCCACAATGGTTTTTCATCATATTACTCTTTTTGATTAGTTTTTCGATGTTTTATTCTCTAAAATTTGTGTATAATTCAGCATTATAGCTGATACACCAAATAATATTTTCCCTGACGGCACTAATTTTTTTCTAATTAGTGACTACAATTGTAACCACAAAATATGATTACTTTTGATATTGTTTACAACTGTAATAGTATGATTGCTTGTAATCTCAACAGATGTTGTATTAAATTATAATTGCTTGTAAACTCGACTACAATTGTATTCGTTAATTATCATTACTTATAAATTTGATTGCAATTGTAATCATAAATTATGATTTCGGCAAAATGAAAATAATCGTAAATTGTAGTTACTTTTATTTCTGACAAAAAGTAATTGGTTACTTTTAATTATAAAGTGATAATAGTTTAGTCCATACCTTGCCCTTTAACATTCGATTTCTTAAAAACATATCCACCAAGGTTGCCTAGATTTCTGAAACATTCTTCCTTCTAACTTTATCATTTATGCACAGTAACCTCCTTTTCTGAATCTTAAAAAATAAAAATATAAGTTTCATTACCTTTTTTATTTTCATTAAAAATCCTAATAACTCTTCCATAACTATATTTTGCAATAAAGAAACTTCATAAAACAATAAAGAATGTCTTTGACAAAAGTCAGAGCTACTAAATTGCATATTAATTCTCTGAAAAGACATTTTGTTACAGTTAAATGAAAGTAATGTGACGTCTCAGTCTAGTATTTTTAGAAACGAATTTGTAAAAAGAACATGAGGATTTTCCCGCGACTCGTAAAATATCGTCTGCTTAGAATCTTTTTTGATACATTGTAGACCGGCTGAAGTCGTTACATCTTCTTGTCCTCCTGTTCCATTTTCAGTGCAAAAGCATCGTTTATAGAAGGCATATTTATGGGTCTTCTAGAATTTCGTTTCTGCTAAACATCTTCTTTTTTAATTTCGAAAACTACTTTCCCTTGTGACTGCTAAGAAAGTTGTTATTTTGTTTTTAGGCTTAACTTTTTTTTATACTAGAAGTTTTTCTTTTCTTGAAAGTTTATGTAATGCTTGACTGAAGATGGATTACAATATTCTTCTTGAAAAAAAATGTACCCTAAATTAAATTTTCAAGAAGTTTTTAGTTTGTTAGAACAGCTTAGAACATCTTAGAATATAAGGGTTTGCATCTAAATTATCGTGTCACAGAAAGTGTTATACTATAAATATTTTTACCAAACATCGTTTTGCAATCTAAATGTACATATCTTAGAAATAAGAGGCGAATTTGTAAAAAGAAATTTAGGAGTTTCCCGTGTCTTGTTTAATGAATCCTGTTTAAAATCTATTTTGATACATTGCTAAACGAATTTTTCGTCACAGTTAAGAAAGATAGTTTATTTCTAAACGTTATTTTTTGCACTAAGTTAGCTCTATTTTTATAAGGTTTACGTAATGATTTACGGAAGACAGATTACGATAGTCATTTTGTGAAAATGTACCCTAAGTTTTTAGAAAGCTTATAGTTTATTAGAACAGATTTGAACTTTTTAGAAAAAAATGCACAAATCTAAAATAATTGTGTCTCAGAAATTCATAGATAAACATTTTTACCAGAAAATGTTTTGCAATCTTTATGTTTCAAAACGAAAACATGTTTGTTGTTCTATTGGTAGGAAAATTAAATTTCAGTGGAATATTCAAAAGATGATGCGTCTAGTTCCAGAAGGTTGACCATTATTTCGGTTAAAGAAACATTTACTGAGAAATGTCAAAAAATGTATTGAGTCTTAGAGACGAAACCAAGCTTGTTATTCTATAGTTAAAGAAATCTATTTTTTCTGCGAAAAGATTTTAAGAAAAAGATCAATTTTTATTTACAGAGATAGGTACCATCTTTAATATTCTCAAAATGTTTTGTAAATGTAAGAATCACATTGCAATTTAAAGTTCAACCATGACATTTTAAGAAAGCATAGTCAAAACTATGAGAATATGGTAAAATATTGCAAAACTGTGTTTATTGCTTTGTGAGGACATCAAAAAGGTCGGTAATTTTTTCCGAAGCACTATGGTAATTATTTTGGTAAAATTTAAAATAAAACATGGTGTTTTAGGATGTGATATAATTCGGTAAATATTGTAAAATTTGGTAGTTTATCACGATGGTTAAATTTACTTTTCAGTTTTGTACTTTTTGTTAAATTCTGGACAGCAAGAATCATACTTTTGAAAACCTAAATTTTCGGCAATTGAATTGAATTGAATGTAGGGTTCAATGGCACGAAGTTAAATTTCCGACAAACTACTACAGTATGAATGGAAAAAATACCAAATGAGCTGTTTAAATACCATATATTTTGGTTTTATAACCAGAATTATGTTTTTTTAATGTCTTTACCATACAGTATGGCAATTTTACCAGAATTTTTCTCAGTAAAGGTATCAACAACGCCGATATTTGATTGGTAGAAAAAATTAGCTCTCTGATAGCACAGTCTGATAAGATCACAGATTGATAAAAACCTATAATTGTGAAAATTGAGCAGTGTGAAAAAATCGAGATCAAATTGCGATTGAAAGTACCAACACTGGGAAAAGGCCAGAACTTTTTACCGTGAAATTCATTTTTAACATTAAAGTTTTATGGAACAAAAAATCTGATATACCGGAATTTTTACAGTAAGATTTACTGTAAAATCACAGTAATTAAATAAATGTTATTATAAGAACTACGGTTTAAAATGGATTTTATGGACCCTGCATTCAGTTTACCAGTATTTTTTACCTCAATTTCATCAGTTTTCAGTAGTGTAGTTAAAATGTTCAACTCCAATCACAATTCCAAACTTTCCTGAGAAGTAATCTCCAACTTAGAATCAATTAAAATTTCCACCGAATCCCAGTATTAATTTCATAACTAAGTAGATATTAATTTCAAATTACATATTTCTGTTTTTTATTTACCAATAAAAGTTGCTTTTTAAAATTATACTTTATGTTATAGTAAAAAATTGAAATTACATTTTATGTAATAGCAAAAAATTAAAATAACATTTTGCTGACATAAAATTAAATTTAATGGCTAAATTTTGAAGAATATATTTTAGAAAAATGTTGAAATGATGCAAAACCACCCTTACAAAAATTTAAACTGTTTCTGTGGTTCATTTGAGGAGTAATGGTTGATTTAAGGTTTATTTAAGGTTATACAAAAACCAGCTTAAAAATCAACCTCCATTGGTATATAATCAAGGTGTATGAAGTTGTTTTATTCACACCTGAGGTTGTTTTGTGTTGGATAGAAATGAGGTTGGATAAATGAGTTTGTTTTGGATTTTTTTATGTATATATATTATCTTTTCTACACTTCAATCAAATAAATATATTTAAGGGGTGAATAATTTCACGAGATTTTAACTAAAAGTATTGTTGAGTTACATATGAGGTTGATTTTATGAAGTGTAAATGAGGTTTAAATTGAAGTTTATTGATAAGGTTATTTTTGTTTAAAAAACTAACTCGTTTTTTTAAGTCTCAAGTGCATTTTCTTTACATCTATCAACCTAAAAACAAACCTAAAAACACCTTTTTTTATTAGGGCACATTTACGAGTCCACAACCCTGGTTTTTCCCTGGTAAAAATAAGATTTTCTATATTAATACTTGATTTTGGTCTTAAACAAAAACAAACATTTAACCTATTTATGATATTATGCGAATCTATTAACTTATACGATCACCGTAAACCTCCTTAAGGTTTTAACAGAATGTTGCTTTCAGGAAAAAGGAAAATATTTCCGCTTTTAAAATAAAAACTACGGTCAGTCACCTTAAAAAAACCCAACTTCCTTCACCCATAATTTCCATATTAATTTTTGTTCTTAAGCTACTCAAAACAAATATGTAGTCTTTAAACAATAAAACCGAAATTAAAGAAGCCGCACAAAGTAAACAAAAAAATCCGTGTCAACACTCATAGTAATTAAGCAAATACAAAATAGCTATTTCCAAGTTTTGTGCTTACATTATGCTTACCAAACTCACGCGACAAATACAAATTACAAAATTTAACCAAGGAAGTTAGCAATTAACATTAACACTGCCAGCAATCCCTTATTTTATGAGCGCAAAATCAAAGTCAATTTATATGATTATGAAAGTGAACGCTTAGATTCAAATTTTGCATGCTACTCAGAACACACGTGCTGATTGCCCTGCGGGTTCGCAAAAACACACCGAACATTCCGCAGCATACTCTGTTAGAGTAATCTTCAACTTTATGAATGGACTTTACGAACCCTTTTTTTTCTTTCTATTAGTTGTTTTAATGCACTGTAAGGAATAAAATATATGTTCCTTAAAGGAAAAGTGCTGTTTAGCATTTTACAAGGTGAACCTTACGCACGTCGACACGTTTGGTGCACCTGTGAATGGACAAAAAACCTGTCCCAAAAGAAAAACAAAAATAACAGAAAGGAATTCATTTAGTTTATTTTATTATTATTTTTTTTTCGTTGAAAAAAGTTCTGTTAGCAAAAGGCGGTTACGAAAGTTTTGAAGAGATATTTCGAAACGGAAATTCCCCCTCTAGAGTGGACAGAAATGAAAAATTTTCTTTTTAAATATTTGCTTGTCTGTGCTGTCTCCATACTTGCTTTTAAAGAACGAATTTTTAGTTTTGAAGCTTTGATTTCTTTTCTTTATTTTAAAGCAAGTCACACCGGGGAAAATTTTTTTTTCTTCAATCAAAACATTATAAAAAGTTGAGAAATTGAAATTAATAAAGTCTCTTAACATTTCCATATTTAAATAAATATTTCTTAATTATCAATAGGAATTATGTATAATTCGATATTTTAGCTAAAAATAAATGAATACAATAAAAGCAAATTTTTTTTCAAACTTGTTTTTAAAGAAAAACAAATTAAAAACTTGCTATTTTCTATAAGAGTATTATTTTTAGTCACATTAGATTGTTCTTTGACTTCTTTCTTTTTATGTCAAGCAAGTCACACCGGGGAAAATTTTTTTTTCCTATCAAAACATTATAAAAAGTTGAGAAATTGAAATTAATAAAATCTTAACATTTCCATATTTAAATAAATATTTTCTAATTATCAGTAGGGATTATATATAATTCGATATTTTAGCTAAAAATAAATTAATACAATAAAAACAAATTTTATTTCAAACTTTTTGTTTGAAAGAAAAACAAATTAAAAACTTGCTGTTTTCTATAAGAGTATTATTTTTAGCTGAATTAGATATAAAGTTGAGAAATGAAAATTACTACGAAATTTAAGTAAATTATTTTGAATTAAAAGTACGAATTATTTATAATTTGCTTTTTAACCTAAAAATAATAGGAAAAAAATCAAAGAATTTATTTATTACTTTTTTGAAAGAAATAAAAATGTGTTGTTCGTGTTATTTTAAGTTGAATAAAGCATAAAGTTGAATAATTGAAATTAATAAATTGCGAACATACATTACCACATTTAACTAATAATTTTGGGTTACAAAAGGGAGATATTTGTAATTTGTATTTTAACCTAAAAATTATAGAAAAAAATAAAAGAAAATTTTATTTATTACTTTTTGAAAGAAAAAAAATTATGAACGTGTTGTTGTTTTCTATAAGAGTATTAGTTCAAGTTAACTGAAGTATGCAGTTGAATAATTAAAAATAATTAAATACAAACACTCCCACATTTAAACAAATGATTGTGGATTAAAAGTAGGAATTATTTACAATTTGCTTTTTAACCATAAAATAATACTAAGGAATCAACGAAAATTTTATTTATGACCTTTTTGAAACACAAACTAAAACGTGTTGTTTTCTATAAAGGCATCATGTTAAGTTGAATGAAGTATAAACTTGAATAATTAAAACGTGGGAGTATATTAGTATTATACTAATGTATAATACTAATATACTCCCACGTTTAAATAAAGATTTTTGGCTTAAAAGTAGCAATTATTTATAATTTGCTTTTTAAACCAAACATTACTGACAGTAATCAGAGAAGATTTTATTTATTACTTTTTCTGAAAGGAAAACAAATTAAAAGCTTGTTTTTTACCTGTAAGAATATTATTTTAAGGTCAAAATTTTCAGTTCTATTTTAATAATTTATATCTGTTAATAAAGGAAATAAGAAAAGATTAAAAAAATTCAAAGAGATATTGGGCTTATTTAATATTATAATAAGTATTTATAAATTTAATACACATTAATTTGCACTTAGTAAAATACATATTAGTTTTTAAAATCACATATTATTTTTTAAAAAAACGAGTTTCAACTTAAAAATAGATGAAATTGCTAAAATAACTATATTTTGTTTAAGAAATGTACATTTGTAGTAAAATAATTCAATTTCAAACATATAAAATATTTCATTTTAAAAATACTTTTTTAATGAGTTTTTGTATTTTTTAAATTTTTTTTCTGCAAACTTCTGTTGCTCTTTTTAAGAAAACTGATGAAACAGGATTTTTCTACTTTAAAAATATAACAATGAAAGCAAACAATAATGTCGCAAAATTTCAAGGTACAAATAAAAAGTTCAATAATCAAACAGCTGTTACAATATTATTTCTAAACAAGTACAAAATAAAAAGTTTGTCATTCATGATAGTGTTAGTTTATACTAGTAAAAAATGGCTATTTTCTTGTTTTATTTTCTATATTTGCTTTATATATATATATCTATAGTTTTAATTTTTATGTACTGCAACAAAGATAACTGTACTACATTGAATCAAGAATATTATTTTACGATGCTACGAAAATAATATTTAAAAAAAAAAAAAAAAATCAAACATATTTTGATGCTTTTAGTACCGCTCTTATCAGTGATTCGTGATATTTCTGTAGCACTTTCGCTTCTTTCTCGCTTTGCTAATAGTTTGAAATCTCTAATATGTTTACATTTTAGACAAAAATTTTAAACATAAATGAGGTTATTACCAAACACCATGCATTAAGACTCAATTTAAAATAAATAAAAAGTAGAAATTTATTTGAGAAAAAACTCGTTGTTTTAGATAGAATAAAATTCATACCTTCAGTTTTTCAAACACATATTTCAAAGCAACACTATTTAGCTCGACCTTAATAAAAGAAAAAAAATGTCAGTAGGCTTTTATTTATTTATTTATTTATTATCTAGTGTAAACAATACTATATATAATCCAAAATGAAACATTTCTGTATAAATAAGATTTATCAGAGCATGAAACGGTGTGATGAAAGTTTTGGCAAAGATTCGAGCAGATTCATTAAATTAATTTACTTTTAGCTGTCACTAATATATTCAATGTATTTAATCTTCACAGTTTTTCATAGGTTTATTTTAGATTCTACTTTAATGATGGAAAACTTGTCTTGCTTTAAAATTTATTTCCCTGAATTATCTTCTGCCTTGTAGTGACATAAAAAATATCGGTACTTACACAATTCGCCGGAACTGGCTATGACGTTGCTGACAAAAAAAAAATTCAACTTTTCTTAAAATTTATTGATTTATTTTTATTTAAATAGTTAAAAAATTTGAAAAATATTAAAAGACATTAAAAAATGAAAAATAACTGAATTTATTTGCACTAGCAAAAAGGATAAAAATCAAATTACCTTTTTCTCTCTCTTTTGTATAATCATAAATTAAAATTATATTCGAATTAAGATTTTTTTTTAAATTTTATAACCATCGTTAAACAGCCGACACAATTTTTGATTTTATGACTACCAATGTTCAACTCGGTAGTCATGCAATTTTGTACCCGATCCAAAAAATAAGGGATTTACACTATCAAGTATTGGGTATAATCTTCCTTCGTGGAGGACTTCTTGATGTAACTAACACGTATTTGCGTTACACGGAGTGGGAAACCACGAAAACCTCCCAAGGTTAACCGAACAGCAAGGGGACTCTAACCCGTAACCAGTCTACCACTGAGGATATTTTTCGTCAGTACTGTGGTTGATGCGAGTCGAGCGCGGAATTCGTATCAACCAGCCATCCCTGCGATTCGAACCTGCGTCACTTCATTCTATTCTTTGAATAGCCGCATCTGGAATTCAGATTTTCAGTACTTTTTTTATAGAATAAAAAGTAAATAGTAATGCTGGTTTAAGTTATCAAATAAGTTAAAGAATCAGATAAGAACATCTTAATTGTGCGATAACTCTCTTAAAGTTAACAATAATGTGATTGTGCTTTAAAAATATTTTAATAACGATGTGATTATGTTTTTTAAAAACCATTACAATAATGTGATCGATCTTTGAAAATTTCAGTCATAACATGATCGCCTTTTAAAAATCAAAACGAAGATTATTATCGCATCTTAAAGTCAAGGCGAATCTGCTATCACTTGTTGAAATCATCACAACAATGCAATAACATTTAGTAATCACTTTTTAATTCCCACAATATTAATGTAATCATTTTTTCAAAATAATAATAATACAAAAACGCTTTTTCAATTACTTAGCCATAATGTTATTATTTTTTTGTTTTGAAAATTTTATAACAATAATGTGATCGTCTTTAAAAATAGCTTGGTTATAATGTGATAGATTTTCAGAAATCTTAACCATATAATGATAATGATATATAATTCCTATAATGATATATAATATGTAATGATGTATATTATATAATGATAAATTCAGCTAATCATACATTCATGTAATGTATAAATGCAGCTGACCAAACGTTCTTATGATGTACTAATTCAGCTAATCAAATCTTCCTATAATGTGTATGTCTGAGGCAATAATTATAACCCTATTAATTAATCATTCTGATTTCAATTAATTATTTTAAATTAATTACTTTATATTAGTTACATAGTTATTAATCAATTATGGTAATTTTTTCTCACAGATAAAGCAAACAAATCTTCCTTAAAACATATAAGTGTATTTAAATCACTTTATTTACTACGCCACACCTTTAACAAAAAAGTAATTATTTGTATTTCAATGGAAAAATGGTCTTAACTATAGACAGTGTTGTTTTACATTTAAAAGTAGTTTAGATTCAAAGTATTTAAATTTAAAAATAATTAATACATATTTTAATCATATTTATTAAGCGCAAAGGGTGTGACATACCATTACGGGTGTGACCAGTTAAACATCTCTAAAGCAGAAATAGGGGTATCTTCTTAAATATTTTTAAACCCGTTTGAATTTTGTTTTTAATTACTTTTATTGTTTGATATTTCTATCATACATATCAAGTAAAAGCAAATTCTAAAATAATCTTATTATTAAATCATCATTTAAAGTACTTAAAAAACTTACTATATACTCAATTAATAAGCGTACACGTAAAGTAATAGAAATAGTTAACTTATATTGTATCATTATTTTTAAATTTCGCAGTATGGACATAAATACTAGAAACAATTAATTTTATAATTCAATATTACTGTTTGCAAGTTTTTCTTCACTTTAGTGAAACAGTTTAGTAGTGAATTGATTTCACTTTGCTTCATTTTTGCATTGTAAGAATCGCTCTTTTTAATGGTACTCTTATTCAGAACTTCTACTTTATTTTTACTTGTTTATCAATAAAAAGAAACGATTGTTTTTATTTATTATAAGAATTTTTTTAAAAAAATAAATCAGATCAAATGAAATCGCTTTATTGAACAAGCTTTATTTTACGGAATAATTTAAAAAAAATATTATTCGTGAAATTTGAATAGCATTTAAAAAACATTAAAAGTTGTTCAAACTGCGTTCAAACTTTAATATATTTTAAAATTTTCATAATTTTTATTATTATGAATAAATTAAAAGAAATAAAATATAACTTTATATTTCATAATTTCTATAATTTTTATTTCAATTGCGTACTACGCTTACAAAAATATCAGTTAACATTAATATAGGTTATCGATTAACTGCAATTTGTAGCTGTATAACAAGCTTCATTTTACGGAATAATTTTTAAAAAATATTATTCGTGAAATTTGAATAGCATTTAAAGAAAACTAAAAGCTGTTCAAACTTTTATATATTTTAAAATTTTCATAATTTTTATTAGTATCAATAAATTAAAATAAATCAAATATAACTTTATATTTATAGTTTCCATAAATTTTATTTCCATTGTGTCCTACGCTTACAGAAAAATCAGTTAACATTAATATAGGTTATCTATTAACTACAATATATAGCTGTATAACAATATATAGCATTTAAAAAATTTAAAAGTTGTTCAAACTTAATTATATTTTAAAATTTTCATAATTTTTATTAATTTCAATAAATTAAAAGACATAGAACATTACTTCATATTTTAAAATTTCTATAATTTTTATTTCTATTGAGTTCTACGCTTACAGAAAAATCAGTTAACATTAATATAGGTTACCTATGAACCGTAATAGGATACAAATATGCTAAAATCGTGCCAACAATTTTGTTTAGTAAAGTGATATTATTCATACTTAGAAACATATTAAGGTGCAGCTAATTTGAACTATATCTGAAAATTTAAATTTTCAGTTAGTAGCCAGTGACCGGTAACTCTAATAACTAAGTAGCCACTTTTTCCTAAACCTAATAAGTCGGTAACTGATATTAATAGGTCCTTTTCATCCAATAGTCATTTTATGCAACAAAAAAATTTTGCTTGAATTAAATTACATATTTTTTAAAAAAAAATCATATTATATCTGCTATAAAAAGTTAATTCAACAGTAAAAATAAGATAAACATGATAAAATTTAATTAAACATACTAACGTTAAGGAATTTTATTTAAATACATTTGGGATGGCAAAATACATTTAATGTATGCATTATAACTTTGAAATGCTTGAATTATTAAAGTACTCTCTTTCTACTTGAATCTCTCCACAACAAAAGGATAGATTCTGAAGGATCAAAATTTGGGGATATTAGACATCAGTTGGACACTGTACGTCATCAAAATTATGTTTCTAAAATCTATTTCTGCAATAATGTACTTTTATAATTAAACAATTTTCATTAAAAAAAAAAACGATAGGAGAACGTGATCAGTTTCTTCTTTATTTTAAGTTTCCATTTTTTTGTCGACTAGCCATGTAGGTTGTTTTCTGGTCTAATTTGAACCATATTATAATTCAACACGATCCAAAATTTCTAACACTGCACTGTTTGCTATTAAACATCAATTACGGAAACAAATAAGTGCTAAACGTGACATCGTGAACAGTGAGCTTTTTAAATGACAATTGTACAAAAAGCATTTTTTTGAATTTAAGGAAGAGCAAATCAAATTCACGAAAATTTGCCTCTTGAAAAGCGTTTTCTATCCATTGTCATCATATCTAATCTAACAAATGAACTTAACTATAACTTTAACTAAACAAAAACGGGGACACTCGATCGAGGGCAAAAGCAGACACTGGAACAAAATAGAAACCTGGTGCATTCGTCAAATTCTGCACACCTTTCATCTCGCAATTACAATCCCTTCTTTGACAGCGAATTCCACTTGCTCAACCCCTTCTTTCGCGAAATAAAAATAATAGTTGAATCATGTCGGCCAACAAAATCATAAAAATATTTTTACCTTCATACTTCCGGCCCCGAGGCTATCCAGACGAAGCAATGCCCGGATCAACTTAAAAACACCCCCGTAAACCCCTCAAAACTACAACCCCAAACTCAGAACTAATTTTGTAGCATTCTTTTCATCTAGATCTCTAAAATGAGCGCCCTATGGTCTTTCTGCGCCCCATATAGCGCGGGCGGCGAGCGATATAGCAAACAGATGCTTCCATTGGTGCCTGTTGACTAGGCGCGTGGACTACGCCTGCTTTATTTTGTTTTTATTTTAATTCTTAAAGCCCAGAGGGGTCGCAGACCGTCGTATGAATTTGGGGCGGAGTCCACAGTAACCTCTGACATACGATAGAAGATTTGTTCGCTTACCTGCGGGGGTAAGAAAAAAAAAAAAAAAAAAGAACTTTCGTTTCTTTTTTTTTTATTGATATACTGTTTTAAAGTAAACGCGTGTCTTAAGTGTGTACGCAGATCACGTAATACCTGTTTCTTCTGTTTTATGTCTAACCAACCCCTTTTAATCGCCCCTACCCACCTCGCCCTGGCCAACTGTCATTCAAAAGTTTTATAACACAGATAAGGGAGCAATATAGGCTTGCGTTGTATAGTGATATACTTCTTAATCATTAAAAGTTAAACAAATGGTATGAAATACTTAGATTACTATCACCTGGATAGGTGAAAATAAATTATTTTTGAGCATTAATGTCAAAAGAATATAAAATATTTTGGTTTGACTTTTTAAAGCGCTTAAATGTTGGATATGACCATATATTATGAGTAGAACGATATATTTCATTATTTAATAAGTAATTAAAGAAAAAAAATGCATAACAGAAAGCAATTTGAGAGAAAAGTTAAGTAATTATGAATAAATTAAAAAAAGCATTCTTAAAACTTATACTGCATATACGTCTCA